CTGGGATTTAATTTTTTTTTTTACTTTTTGCAAATTCACATTTGTAAAGTATGCATTGAGGTCACATCTAGGAATAATGAAAGGCTGAATCAATCTTTATTTGTTAAAAGATTCTACAAGTTTGTCTCATGAAAAGCAATTAGTAAGTGTTAGCAGTTGCTTGTGGATTAACTGTAGCCCAGGTCAACAACTGACAAATCATCAAGATAGAAGGTTACTAAATCGATGACTACAAGGTGAAAAAAAACCTACAACAAAAAGCAAAAAAACCTCTTCAGACAAAAAAAAACCAACAACCAAACAAACAAAAAACAAACCCTCAAAAAAAAACCCAAAACACCCAGCCTCTATCCCTTCAAGTATTGGAGCTCTAGAAGTACGTGTTCTTGTAGCTTTGGCAAAGCTCATTTGCTGCTCTTAATTACTGGGATATGTTTCAAAAGAATTAACTTTCTGTCCCTCCATGTGTGTGTTTACACATTTTAACAGGATGTCAGTTTTCATCTGTCCCCTACCTCATCACTGCTATGGTCAAATACTGTGTTTTTTACATTGCTCCTGGAAACACCACCTTCCTTTCCTAGGTTTGAGTGCGTGAGTTGTAGTAGTATTTCTATATAAATGTCTGCTCTGCTGGAATGTCATAAAGCACCAGTCACTGTGAATTCAATAAATAGAGAGCTGTGCTGGGTTGAGGGAAGGAAGAAATTTGGAAATAGTTTTCTAGGGCAATGGCACACAATGGAGTCATTTTCTAAACTCTCGTAAGAGGTGTTTTCCACTGCAAAGATTGTATTCAGGTGGATATCACCTGTTCAATGACAGTCTTGAAGGTGGAGGAGAAATTAAGATTCTGGACTCCTAATTTCCACACATTGACTTAGACATTTTAGGGAAGCCAAATATCTGTTAGAGAATCCTAATACTTACCTATTTCAGTCAGGGTTTTCTTTGAAGTTTAAATGGTTAAACGCCACATGAAATCCTTGACTGAACAGTTGAAATCCCATTAAGAAAATGTTTTGTTAGATGCCAAGACCAGGCACACTTTAACTGCAAGCTTGAGTAGGATAAAAGCTTAAGTACAAGTTAGCTGGTCTTTGTAGGTATGTCTTGCTGACATTATAGGTACATATCTTTCTTAAAATATTTTGAAGCTACCCTAATTGTTGCTATATTTGTAGAAAGAACACTATCCTACGTTGTTGCACAGTAACCTGTTTACATGCATGCTTTCTTTGGGAAGAAGTCTCCTGTAATTAGAGTAGCGATTTATTCTGTGTATAAAGTGAGCAGGAGCTACTGCAGGGGAAGCTGAGGAGGAGTTAGGCTGAAGCTTGAGCAGGTCTGTGGTCTTCACCAGCCCTGGAAGACACTGTACAAACCGGTGTCTTCTCTTAATATGTTGTCTTTCTGTTCGGTTACAGTCTCTAAAGCAGCCACTGACAGATGCAGTGCAGAGGAACCGAGTCTTCTTCATTGGTCTGAGGTGACTTAGGTCAGAAGCAAATTACAGCTTTTCAGTGACACATAGAGCACATTTTGAAGTGTTTTCTTCTCAGGCGCCTCTTGCCTAGAGTGGTGGTGAGCCCACTGGCAGTGGGAGGTACCAAACGTGATACCTGCTGTGCGCCCGCTGAGTGCCAGGCGCAGGTCTGTGGCTCAGCGGCATTGCCTTTGCATTGATGACCTCTCCTTTTACACCAGCGATTTCCCAGACTGTCAGCTGCTGGAGGAATAGCCAGCAAAGATGCACAACTGCGGAACATGGTAGAAAGTAGTCATCTGCCACCCAAAATGGAAAGGTTGGCCAGTCTAAGATGAAACAGTTTCACTTCTGCAGGCACGTTGTAGCTCATTTTTGAGGTATAGAGGCAAGTTTTGGATCCATTGTGATCCTTTTACATCTGAATGTTCTTTTTCCTTTTAAAAAATAACGAAAAGGTAGTCTCGTGCTCCCCTCTGGGACATGGGCACATGAAGCCTGTCGCTAGGTTAGAACCTTTGATGTCCATTTCAGATTAAATTCTTGTCTAGGATTCCTGCCTTTTTAGGAAATTTGGCTGGGCTTTTTTTTTTCTCTTCTAGTGGTTCTGCGTGATTTTTCTCTGATAACACACAGCTTTGGCTTTGTTTATCTTCTGTGTCTTTTATTTGTGGATATGTTCCCAAAAGTCATTGTGAATGTTTTAATTTTTTTATTTTATATGCTTACTCTTTATTGATCGCTTTAAACATTATAGATGCATATATAAAATTCTAAAATAGGATCGGTTGTAATATTTTAAAGGGAATTGCCTTGAAACATCAAAGACCCGTGTAATATCTTGTACTGTGATGCCACTGAAAGATATATTTGCAACTCTGCTTTTGTAGTAGTCCTTTTTGGTAGCCAGTATCATCTGTAAAAATAGCAATTTCAACGTAATTTTGTATTGAATTCTTTGTATGATGATCTAAAACTCCAGAATATAAATACTTTTCTTATCTATAGGCCAGACCAAACAACTAAACCCACATATTTGGGTTGTTGCAGCAATAAGGAAACCCACTGAAAGCAGTAGCTCAGGGGATCCTCCTCTTAGATCAGTTGAACAGCGTTGCCCTAACTTTCTGTAATACTCACATAACAGTCCTGGATGTAGCTTCAAATGGGTTTTTGGAAGTTACAAACCTACTAACCTATGAAAATATTTTATGTTATATTGGTTTTTTTGGAATACTTTACATTAGCGATGGGTGATAGGACAAGAGGAAATGGATATAAGCTTAGTCAGGGGAGGTTCAGGTTGGATGTTAGAAAGAATTTCTTCTCTGAAAGGGTTGTCAGCCACTGGAATAGGCTGCCCAGGGAGGTGGTTGAGTCCCCATCCCTGGATGTGTTTAAGAAAAGGGTGGATGAACTACTTAGGGATATGGTTTAATGGGGGATTAGGGACGGTTGGACTGGATGATCTCTAAGGTCTTTTCCAACCTAGAAATTCTATGAAATTCTATGAATAAGAAATACCAAATGGCATTTGTCATGTCACACTCCTCCTAAGAAGGTGTAATTCTGAATTTTCTCCTCCATGACTCTCTAGTTCTGACAAGAAATATTAGAACTTGTGTGTTGTGGTTTGATAAAAAATGTAAATTTATGTTCAAAATTGTTTGTCAGTCTCTCAGAAAATTAGAAGTAATTAAATAGAAAGTTCTACAGATTTGTGCCATTTCTGTACCCTCTCATCTCAAGATGGTGTGAGAAGCAGACAATTGCAATAACTTGCTGCTACTCCTTTCCAGCTTAATTTGATCTTGTTCCTTAATTCTGACAGATTGTTTTTAATTTTCCCATCTGTTCCATAAAAATCTCAAGTGATTGACTCTTAAGAAAAAATAATGTCTAATAGCTGAGCCATTTTTAATGAGTTGTTATGAGTTATTTAATGAGATGTGCTGAAGAAGGCAAGCCAAGCGGAAGATTGGGCCTGGGGTGGTGGGTGTAAAGAAAGGTGAAGGGCAGCCGTGTGCTTTAGGAAGTCTCTCCTCTTCAACCTCAGCTTTAGACTGCTACTGTCTGCAGTTTCAGGCACTGCACATCCTCAGACCCATGGTCAAAAAACAAAAGTTCAGTAGCAGTAATTCCTTTTCCCCTTTTATTTAGTGCAGTTTCTGCCCTCAGACAGTCCTGCTTTGGGGAGAGGCACAGTCATCCAAAGGAAAAAAGAAGATCAAAGAATAATACTTAAGTGAACTTAAAAACATTGGAAGCTGTGGTTTTACTTCATGTCTTCTAGCAGCCTACGCCATAACTCCAAGATTCTGGTGTTAGGTCAGAAGGAACCCCCATGCCTGTAAATGGAGTGAATGTTCTCCTCCAGCCTCTCTGAAGGCTAAAACGTTTGCTTTACAACTGCCTGCAGATAACATCTCCTGGGGCAGGAAGTCATCAATATGCAGCACGGGTCTTTGAGAATAGCAGCCATGAATGTAAATATTGACATCTGGACTTCTCACTTCTGTTTTGGTTTTTATATATTATTATAATAAACAGTAACATTATTTTTAATAATCATCAAATAGCAGTTTCTCTGGCAGCTTGAGACTTCATTATTAAATCAACTAGTGAAAATAAATATATAGCTCTTTTACAAGGAAAGTTGAAAGTTTGACTCAACTCTGCAAAGATGCCATTGTTGGTCTAATCTATTGTAGAATTCATAGAATAATGAATTAACTTTCCTATTGCATACAGTGAGGCATAACAAATGAGAGAATGCTGCCATGGTAGTGAGCAAAATATACACTTGTTTTTGCAGGTTTTAATAGCCTACCAGCTAAGGAGAGAGACTTTTGTCTGTTTTTTTTCAAACTAGTAGCTAGGTGAAAAAGACAGCAGGGAACATCATTACTCCACACTTACAGAGCATCTCCAAATACTCAGCCTATCAGGTTTCCCTGTGACATGTATTTCCAACAACCGAGGAGGACAGGGGAGAGATGAAAATGTGACTTTTAAACTATTGAATGTAAGAGCAGTTAAAAATGCTTCTGGTTTGAACGTGTACAAAATTAGAGCTGGATGGTGTCTGTTTTAAGGCCCAAGCTCAGCAAGTAGCCACGGATAAGAGATTCTCTCTGCTTATACAGAAGTCTCTGGCTCTGAACGAGACTATTTTTTTTTTTTTCTTGCTATTACCATCTAGTAGCAATGTTCCTAGAGTTGGACTTTTTTTTTCCATTGAGGAGAAGGAATTGATTGGTGGCTTACTTTGTCTGTGTAGCAGGAGAAAAAAGTGACTTAATTTTGAGTAAAATTCTCATGGGCTTTGAGAACATGACCCATTATCTATCCCTCCTGATGGATTTTGGACAAGGATCTTCTTGCCTTGTGGCTTTAGTAATAAATCTTCTATGTATTTATGTAGTTAAAATTAAATTCCCAAGATGTAAGTTTAATAGTGGTGCATTAATCCTTCATAAAGCATTGATCTTTTGTTTTTTATCTTCTTCCTTAGTGTGTCAATCCTGATCTTTAACACTTCTCGGCAGTGCTTTGTTGTGGTGAAGCAGTTCCGCCCAGGTAATCCTCTTTTTTTAGATTTACTTTTGCTCACTAGTGAAGCAAGCTTTTAAGGGTTTAGCAGTTAAAAGTTGGTGCATCTGTGGTGATAAAATCTTTGTTCTATGTTCTGTTTCTTTGTATGACAGCCCACCCTTTTCAGTTGGTCAGAATTTCTAACCAGGGAAATTTCCATTACAGATGAAACGAATGATCAGGGTAGCCTTACATTCTGCTTTTGGGCTACTCATTGTCCTCTTTTGGATGAAATTACAAACAGCTCTATAATGATCATGCAATAGATTGCTTTTATTTTCTTGACCTATCTAGTATTTAGTAGGCAGCTTCTGTGCAGAAGCACAACGTTAAGTTTTTTCTCTTTGGTCTTAAATATTCTTCTTTTCTTTGATGTGTTATTATGTGTTGTATACTTGGGAATTTAAAATGAGAGAAATTCAGAACTGTATGCTTTTTCATCAATATGTGGACAGCTTCATTTTACCAGTTATTATTATGAATTTAGGTTAATGTACTGTATTTTTTTTCCTGGGTTTTTGTATTGGATATTTTAATTTAAAGCAATATTTACTTTTTGGAAGTTAAAAATGAAATACATATTCTCTGCATGTTAATTAAAAAAAATCACAAGATATTTCACTGGCTGTTGCTAAGAGACCATTTCAAGACCGTTCATGGTAGACTTCATAGGAAACTTTCTAGGGTGGTGTCATGCTGTCCTTTCTTACTGACAGTGATTGACAGGCTCCTCAGTGTTGTGCAGCACTGTTATTCTGACAGTGCATGCTTCTCATGAAGCGCTGTATTGACTATTATAAAGTGTTTGTTTATTTGTTTATCCATAATCCAGTGTCTTTTATTTGCCAGCCAAATAAAATGGCTCATATAGCTGTTGCAGTCGTTGAGGCAATCTTAGGTAGAAACCTTCGTATATGTGCATATGTATCTAAGTACTGAACAGTGACATGTTCATTACATCATCTCAGTGGAAGCGTAAAATATACCTCAAAAGACTGGACTATTCTTGGAGTTAAACTGTTCCAGAGGCTGGAGCTGCTCAGAAACCTGGCCTTAAGTCAGTTCAGTGATCTCAACCATGCCCTGACATTACTCTCATCACCATACTTAAATTTCCATTTTGTGGTTATTGTCTGCCTTAGTGCCTGTTCCGCAAAATAAAATTAAGGCCAGGACTTTTCTCATTGCCAGCTCCTATCAGGGTCCCACCGGGAAGGCGGTAGCTGGTTGCTTGTTAGCAAACACCTGCTGCTCACTCACCAGGCACGTCCGCTGCACGCGTGCTGGTTGACATATGTGCTTGCCTTTGCTTAGGGCGTGGTGTCACAATCAGGTTTTCCCACTGAAGCCTGCGCTGCTTGTAAAGGCAGTCATCCCTCCCTGTACATACATTCCCACCCCATTCCCTTTGGCAGCACCAGCCTTATGCAGCCGCAGCAGAGGTTTTACATAGCTGCAAACTGATAATTTTGAGGATTAGACAGTTTATCTGACTGGCCTGGATAAGTTCATGCTGGCTTGAGAGATGGCAGGAGCACACAGCCGCAGTGGGGCAGACAGGACCGTATTTTTCAGTGTACTGTGGACTTAGATCGTCTTGAGTGAATCATTTGGAAGGAGCAAAAAGAAAAAGTTGCACATATATCTCAGTAGTTTCCATATTAGTTCTTCCTTACCCATGACTGATTGGACAAGGTCTTGGGCAGCGCTCATTTTGGTAGTCAATTGACTGCACGTTTTCAAATATAATAAAATAACACGTTCCTTAGAAAGGCTGGGGTTGGTACCTATGAACATGTGCCCTGTTTTTTTCACTGTAAGTATAATGACCTTTCAATGGATTGTGATGTTTGGTTTTTGCATTGACTTGAAATAAACAATATCAAAGATTTGAATCACAGGCCATGTTCTGTTTCAGGAGGTACAAAACACTGGTGCAATCAAAGAAAAATCAGAAGTTTAAAGAAAAGCTCGCATGTTCTCCAGTCAGCTAAACCCCACTAACCCCTCTGTCCGTGCTGTTGTTTTCTTCTCTTTAGGGGTAGTAAGCAAGTTCCTGTAATGACTCATCTAACAAGGCTGCTTTGAATAACAATTATGGTCTTACTTGATGAGTTTGGTTGAACCATCTATCCTTTAACCCAGCTTTGCAGAAATGAAGGCAAGCACATCAGTTCTACTGGAGCTTCCGCTCTGAGACTTCTTACAGCTGAGTGGCTCCAGGGTACTTAGTCAAGATATTTAATGAGCACTAGATGGTTGTTAGAGTCCTCACTGTACTGCTGCTCATCGCATGTGTCCATGTGATGATGGAGGAGACTGCCCAGTGGTGATGACTAGCAGTGGCAGTTTGTGACCAAAGTAGCATAAGCCATTGGAAGACAAGAGAGCAATCAGACACGGGACTAGTGGATGGGTGGCTGAGTTCTTGCATCTAGTTTCTGCTCTCCGAACTCTTTGTGCAATGGCAATAAGCTGACAACATGCAATGAGGATGAGGAAGAGGAGAGTTCACAGCTTTCCCTTCAAAGAGCAGGCCCTAGCCAATAGGCCACAGACTGCTTTTCCATCTGGTACTTGATCTCCGTCGGTACATCACTTGTGCAGTGCATTTTGCACCTTCAAGAGAGGCGTGGGGGACTGCTGTGTTCCCTGATGTTAGCAGGCTGCTTGGTTTTCTAGGCTTTGCTTATCTGTCAGAGATGAATTGAATGTGAACCTTTCTGAGCCTGCTGATAATGAATTCAGACTGTGATTCCCTGGAAAATGCTCTAGTTTTTGGACTCTTACAAAAGTGTCTGGTGCTGATTCTTTTCTTCCTTATCTGCAGAGAGAAGCTGTTAGTGTGCTTTGAGTGTTGGCTGGCTTTGCTCTGAAGAGAACTGCTGGGTTGGGTCCTTTCGGGAATGTAGGTTTTGATCTTCGTGGAGCCCAGTTGTGCTGAGGGAGAAGGAGAACGGCAGGTGCCTGCCAGAATGACAGGATGGGTTTCAGGGATTCAAGAGACTTGTAACAGAGAGTTACTTTAATCACAGTTTTGTGTTTCTGTACCCATACTCTTACCTGCGTCCTGTTTTGGCACCCAAGTTCTTTACTAGCGTGTACGTGTTGTTCCTTTTTGTGTTTACTGATACATATAAGTCAATACTGAAAAAGCAATACAGTCTAAAGGGTATTTGCCTCGTCTTACGAACATCCTGGAGGTAGTTGTCATTTATGATTTTAGAAGCTTCTAGGAGTTCTTGGAATGATGACAATAGACACCCTTCAAGGATCTGTCCTTCAGACTCTACCCGGAATATTCTTTTTTGCCACCTTCTTGCTGCATTTTAAAAAGAAAACTGAGCTCTAGTCATGTTTTTCAACTAAGAAATGGAAGCTCCATTCCTTAAATGTTGGAATCTCAAAGACCTAGATGTACCTACTGCAAACAGCTTTGGAAGTTTTAAGTTCTGGAGGAAGATTAATTTTGGGGCAAACTTCTGCACTTTTTCTTTCTTTTTAGACTGATCTAGACATCTCCCTTTCAGGTGCTAATCTTGCTATACTGCTCTTCTGAGGCAAGATGCGTTCTAGAAGGAGCCTAGGCACAGACTTCTGGGGTATAGACTCCTCCCCAGAGACCAAATGCTTGAGAAGTTACTGTGGTACTTTACTTTTACATGGCAACATTTCTGTAGGGACCTTGTTGTATATCACAGTTTTAAGAAATAAAAAGTTAAATTCAGAAACTGGAAGAACAAAAAGTTGTCCATTACTTATCTTTTATATACCAGTTCTGTAAGATTTAGAATGGCAAATAAAAGATAAGCTCATTTGAAAACTGTTATGTGTTTATGAAATAGATATGTACAAGATTTTACTGGAATAAAAATAATTTCAAATTTTAAAGTAGTTTTATTCAGGATGTTTTATAATGCCCTCATGGTAACCTTTCATGAAAAAGAAAGTGATAGACATGAGGAAATTTCAAAGAAGAAACAGATGGGATTGTACCTGTAAAATCAAGTCACAATGATTGGAATTGTCAGTAGTGATTCTTTATGTGTTAACATCCAGTCCTGCAGTTCTCACTCCGGCAGAATTGCTGTTGACATCAGTGAGGGGTTTTGCTTAAATAAGGACTAAAATCTGGCATTTGCACTTTCTTTAGGAGTGCATTACAGTGGCAGCTGTTTGTAGATTAATTCAAGAAGTCTTTTTTCAAACTCCACACAGGAATCTGTGCAAGGACCTATATGTTCAAAAGAGGATTTTTTTTTTTTTTCAAACAAGCATACATGCTTTTCATACCCTTTCTATATAACAGCTGAGTTGACAGGCTGTAAGACTCATCATTGTGCACATGGTACATAATTTGCAACCCAACTTTCCTGCAAGATAACTGCATAGTTTAAATTAAATCCTGATGTCCACATTGCCCAACAAATGGAAGCTGTTTGGAGCTTCTGGGACTTAGACTTCTTGGATGAATGAACTAGCTTCCATATATGTATATATATATTTTTTTTTTTAAGGTGTGTATGAACTCATTCCAAATGATGTAAGCACAAATAGTGTCTAAGGAATAATTTTACAGAAATGGCAGGAGAACTTTTGTTCTCTAAAATTCCTATTTCAGTGTGTCATAATTTTAATAGATAACACAACTGAATTCCTTGCTACTCTCCAGTGCTCTGATGGTTATAAGTTCCCAGGCAAAAATTGTGTGTGCCATCTTTTTTTTCTATTTAATATGAATAAACTATAAAAAAAAAAAACAACAAAAACCCTCTTGTCTCTTTTTTTTTTTTTTTTTGAAGCCGTTTACATGTGTGAAGTAGAAAGGCATCATCCTCAAGTCTTTCAGAATCAGGACAAGGAGAGCTTCTCTCATCTAGAGGATCCCTTACCTGCTGTGGTAGGAGTGACCTATGAACTCTGTGCTGGCATCGTAGACAAACCGGACCTTTCTTTAGAAGAAATTGCATGTGGGGAAATCTTAGAAGAGTGTGGCTATCGTGTTCCCGTTGCAGACCTGCGGAGGATCACTTCTTACAGGTAAATAGCAGTAAGTTAAAAAAGTGCATTTTGTGGTTTCACAGATTTCTGAAGTGGCTTGAATGTGTGTTGGTGTTCCCTGTTTCCTTGTTTAAGCAGCGTGTTGGAGGAACATGGACGTCTGAAAGTACGTGAAAGGTGTAATTTTCTGCAAGTGAGAGGAGTATTTACAGACACTTAAGGAATTATAAACTCATAATTACGGGATTGAATTCTGCGTAAGAATGATACTATTGTGATTTTTTCCTAAAACTATTAGAACTGGGAAAAATTGCCCTGGGCTCTGAAGAGCAGTTTGTTGCGGTGCTAGAAAACAGCCCGTCTTTACTGTGTCAGGCGTTTTCCATCTCTGATCTTCATTGTTCTGATTAACAATAGAAGCTGCCCAAGATAGTCTCTGTTTTTCCATTAACACAACTTTGTGGCAGTGTAAGAACTTGTACCATTAGATTTAGATATTAGATAATATTTGGGCTGTAATTAAGGCTTCTTTCAATCGGACAGTAATTGATGTTGCATATGAAGATTTTGCTGATTTGACTGAAAATTTTTACATTTTTGCAGGGTTTTAAATAGTTATTGAAATACATTTTTACATGTTTTAAAATATATGTTAGGAGTAAGAGGAAAACTAAATATTTAAGAGGAAAAATAGTCGTTGCAGAGGAAAAAAAAAAAAAACCAACAAAAAACCCACAACACTCAGGAGAAACTTTGCACACGGGTTTAATCCCATTATATCTCCTCCTCAGCTTTTACTATTGTTACCCAAAATGTATGTATGTTTGTATTTTATGAAGAAAGCAGGTTTTTTACTTTCTTTATTTTGCTTGACATCTCCATTGAACTAGGCCCTGTCATTGGTTTTTAATTTGGGAATTGAATACAAATCCACAGCTGTCAATCCTGGCAAATGTTATTTCCTGCTGGATTAACAAGCAGTGCTTCTGTCGAGGGGAGGGGGCGAATCACAGGAGCTGGCTTTTACAACTCCTTGAAACTAGATGAAGGGTTTGTTCTGCTGAAAGAAAAAGTGCCTGCCGGATTTATGCGCCAAAGCTGTCTATAGAATTTCATAGGCTGGATGACACTGACAGGCCACAGCATGCAGATATATATACATATGTATATGTGCATATGCATGTGTACACCAACACAAAATAGGAAGAGTAGAACATAATTTCTGTAGCTGTAGAAGTTTGTAGCTTCAGTGTAGAAGTTCAACTCGACATCAACGATTTACATCCAGCTAAAACATCATATGTTTTTTTGGTTGATAAATGGTATCTTACAGGTGGTTATTTCAGTTGCTTTGTGGTTTTTTTTAATTGCACTGACTTGCAAAGAGAGTGAACAATTGGAGTTTTCTCTGTTGAGACCCATGCAAAGGGCACTTAATATGTTAATCCCCCAATCCTGCTTTGTCTATGTGGGCACAGCTTTCTGCCCATGGAGATCCATGCTGAAGTCAGAAGGGCCTGTATAGTATTTACTTTTTTAGATTAATATGAAAGGTCGAAGCCTCAAAGATGGTATTTCACAGTTTCTTTTATTGAACTTCTGTCCTAGGTGTCATCATTTTATTCTAAACGTTATAGTCTTCCTATTAGGAGTGTCCTGTTCTTCCTTCAGCCAAAGACTGGCATATCTGTTTGATCCTTGAGGATTTGATGCAAAGATAGGAGCTAATCAGTTCCCCTGTGGTCTGCTAAGGACATTTTTTCTGTAATGACTATATTACATATAAGAATTTCTGGGCTTTTTCTAAGTGTAACGGGTGTTTCTAAATGGTTTATGCTATTTCATGCTGCGGCTGTCGATACAAAGCACAGACATAAAGCATTACATTAGTGCACATGCATCCCATTAATAATTACAATACATCGTGCACTTCTATTATTATCTGTCATCCCAGTGATCCATGTAATAGTTGCTCTATGTTATTTGTTGATTGAGTGTATCAGATTGGAGAGAAGCCTTAGAAAACAGAATTGGAAGGAATTTTGGGAGGTTCTCACCCAGACTGCTCCTCTTCCAAAGATCAGGCTCAGCTGGATTTAAATCACTTCTGACAAATGTGCATCGGTGCTTTCTGTAAAATCTGATGATTTCATCGCCTCTCCAGGCATTCTGAAGTGTCTAACTATCCATACAATGAGCAAATTTTTCCTCATGTCTTGCCTAAACTTCCCTTTCTTCACTTCAAGCCTGTGACTTACTACACTGTTCCCAGTGGACATGAAGTACTTCTGCACCTTCCACATATTTGTTTGGCCATTTTATTTTTGCCTATGCAAAGCTATCTTAATTAATCTAAGCTTTCTGTTTAGGCCATGTTTTCTAGCTGTGTGGTCGTTCCTTCTGCTGTCCTCTGCCTTCTCTCCATCTGGTCTGCATGTTTCTTAAAAACATAGTGCCCAAAGTGGAGCATTGTATTTTAGCGGGGCTTTACCAGTGTCAAGATAAGAGTGGAAGCATTGTTTCCCTAGTCTTACAGATGATTTTGTTTATATGCTGTAGTTTGATGTTTGCCTTTTTTGCAGTGGTGCTATGTTGTTGACTTCTGGTCCACAATCCTGCCCTATTGCAAAACCATTTTCTGCAGCAGTACCGTGCTGTCATTCACCTCCTGTCTGTACTTGTGTGGTTTGTTATTGCTCCCTGAACACAGAGCCTTGAGCTTACCTTTACTGAATTGCATCCTATTTTTTCAGACCATTTCTGGAAGTTGGGATCATTTTGAATTCTAATGTTCATCTCTAGCTTCCTATAAATAATCTATCTCAGCTTTGGTACCTGCAGTCTATATTTCAACATACAAGTCCTAAAACAAAATATTGAATTATATTGAATGAGGATGGTCCCCAGTGGAATCCTATTTAGTTTGTTTTTCCAATTTGACAGTGATAGCCCTTCCATGAGTACCATTTTTATGTGAATTTTGCACCTATTTCACAGTTTCATCAATTTCTAAGTATATTGTGATCTCCTGACTTCTTAATGAAACCATCACATTAGATAGCATTCAACGCCTTGATAAACTGAAGTTACATTGTATGTTGCTTCCCCTATCCACAAGACCTGTTATCCTATTATATTTTTTTGACTGCACTTGATATGTTTCTGACAAACCTGTTAGCTGTTGTTCCTATCTTGATGCAAATAAAGCCACATTAAAATATTTAAATAACTATAAATCATAATTACTGAGTTAAGTCTGTTAGATTTTTATAAGCTCGAAGTTGCGTGCATGGTGAAAAGGCTTTTGTACAAACAAGGGTTTCTGTGTCATCACACCCTTTGGTCTGAAAGCAGAGAGTTGTCTTAGATTCCCAGTAACACGCTTTTCTTTAATCATGGTCATGAGAAGGAAATTGCATGACTTGAATAAAAGTGGAACTTGAGCTCGACCTGACAGAAGGCTATGGAAAGCAGAAGACACATCCAATGTAAACTTAGGGAAAAACAGTTTTGGGCTAGGGAGGTCAATACAGTTCCGTGGCTGATAGGTTGAGAAGGGGAGGTCATGGACAATTTGTATGGAGAGCTTAGAGCAGGGGGAAAAAAGGAATAGAAGATCGTCAAGTAGAAAAGGGAAGAAGCAATGAAGGAACCATGCAGAGAAAAAACATGGACTGAGAACTAAAATGGACTCGAGGAAAGTACGTTCATGGTGGAGAAGTTCTCTTCAGCAAAATGAGGAAAGTACTTAGACTGTGTTCAAGCAGAACTTTGCTCTGTTCTCAAGCAGTGGGTGCAGTAAAGATTGGAGGTAATCTGAAGATAGCATTTTTGCATTTTTTTCCTCATTTATTATCAGAGCCTGCAGCAGTGGTTTTGGGGGATTTTTTTGTGTGTTTCTCAGCGAACCAGAAAAAGTGAACTGCGATATTACTACAGATAGTTCAAAAGCACATACAAATAAGCTGTTGGACCCCATTCTGAAGTTCTGTTAAAGTTCCTGGGACATGATACTCGTCAGATAGAAGTCAGACACTGAATTAAGCAGATCTCAGACTTAATTACTTTCAGCGCTCCATGGAGTAGCTGTGGAGTCAATGAGAAATCAAGAAAGAAGCCAGGAGTTGGGGAATTTACGCTCATTGAGCAAGAGTCTTAGGAACAAGTTGTTCCAGCAACAGGAGGACAGTATGGCATGGGTGAATGAAGGAGATTGGATTGGGGGCAGATAACAAGAAAGACAAACATATTAAGAGAGACTTGACTGAAGGAGGTCAGAGGAATCACACTTTGAAGAATAAGAAATATCTGTTCCTATTACAGAAGAATGCTAGCCAGAAGGTGAATTTAAATGCAAATGGTTCATTTTGCTGTGTAGATGGAGTCAGGAATCAGTCTGGAAAAAATCTGTATTGTTTGCAACATGTGTGATGAGTTTCCTCTTCTCATCGTGGCTACACAAATTGCTACTTTTGTGCTTGGCTTACAGTAAATAACCTCATTCTGGTATTACAAAAAGTTTGTTTTCTGTTCTGGCAGCAGCTAATCTGCTTCTGGAGGCTTCATGAATGTTTTGACACCCACTGGTGTGTTGAGTTCTCATCAACTGTATGTATGGCTTCAGTCAAAAATGGCAAAGGTGGTAGATGTGATGGGTGTAAAGGAACCATTTAGCTCAACAGTAAAATGAAGCCAATACTGTAGTAGTGTAATTGTAAACTGAGGCTTCACGAAAATGGTTGCCAGTTAAATTGTTCATTTTTAAAAGCTCTAAAACAAATCTGTGAGGTTCCCTGCAGGTTTTTATTGCTAAATGCGAAATTTTGTAAGTGAACGGCTTTAGACTTACTCAAGTATCAGATATAACAAATTTTCTGTCATGGTGTCCCAACAGTTTCGAGTTTGAATCTCATGTGAAATTCAGCTGTGAGTTAGTTTTTTAGGTTGAAGTACTTCTAGCTATCTTCCTTGAGACTTGTTTCCTTACAAGACAGGGGCAGGGAAATACGTCGTTCTTGTTAAAGATGTTATTATTGCCA